GACTTAACCTCTCTGAGCTCTCCCTACCTCATTTACAACATGGAGATTAAATACCTGCTTCCGTTTTGCTAAGGTTTAAATGAGATAACTGGAATCATTAAAAAAAAACAGTCGTCGTTCCTATCCAACAATGCCATTAGTAAGAACACAACCTGTATATTAAAGGAAAACCTTAGCCTGGCTGGGTTTTCAGCACTTGTGTACCACAGTAGGGAAGTAAGGAAACATACACTGTTAGGGTTTGTGTTCAAGAATGGCATTTCTGCGGGGCACCTGGGTGGCTCGGTCAGTTTAGCGTCCAACTCCTGATTTCCACTCAGGTTATGACTCTTGGTTTGGGAGTTTGAGCCCCACGTAGGGCTCTGCGCTGAGAGTGTGGAGCCTGCTGGAAGAGTCTCCCTCTCTCTCTGCCCCTCTCTGGCTCACAACCTCTCTGTCTCTCTCAAAATAAATAAACTTACCAAGAAAAAAAAGAAAAGAACATATTTCTGAGATAATCAAACCCAGTAAATCGATGCTGCTCTGGCTGTCCTTTTAGGCTTTGCTGTGCTGCTTACGTGGATGGAGCCCGTCCCACAGGCACTGGAGAGGATGTTTGCTGTGTTTGGTGTGGGATCCTTCGGTGAAGGAGTCTGTACGGTGGTGTTAACAGTTTTGGCAACTGACTGTGTATGTGTTTAAATACTGAATCTCTAAAGGCTCATCTTACTCTGAAAGCTTGGCTGTACGTAATACACAATTAGTCTTCAATATTTATTTCCTACTCACAGTAAAAACAGAGATAGGTAGAGACGGAATTCCTAATTAGATACACTGCAGTTAAGACATTTCACCAGGGAAAGTTTTAAAAACTCCAGGAGAGGGGCGCCTGGGTGGCTCAGTCAGTTAGGCGTCCAACTTTGGCTCAGGGTTTGTGAGTTTGAGCCCCGCGTCAGATTCTGCGCTGACAGCTCAGAGCCTGGAGCCTGCTTCAGATTTTGTCTCCCTCTCTCTCTGCCCCTCCCCTGCTAATGTTCTGTTTCGCTCTCAAAAATAAACATTTAAAAAATGACAAAATAAATAAAAATTCTGGGAGAGATTTTTCTTTTTCTGGGTAAATTCTACTTTATTAGACTAAAAAGAAAAAAACAAAGTTGAGCTACCGCTGCAGAGTGGAGCTACTGGACTGCATTTTGCAAAGTGTGCGGCAAGCCTTCCGTCTCTTGCTAAGCTGAGGCCACTGTTTTGGTTTTTTTTTATTTTTTTTTTTAATGTCTTATTTATTTCTAGGAGAGAGAGAGTCAGCGTGAGCAGGGGAGGGTCAGAGAGAGAGGGAGTCACAGACTCTGAAACAGGCTCCAGGCTCTGAGCTGGCAGCACAGAGCCCGACGCGGGGCTCGAACCCACAAACCGCAAGATCATGACCTAAGCGAAAGTCGGACGCTTAACCGACTAAGCCACCCAGGCGCCCCTGGGGCCACTGTTTAAATCCTTTCGGCCAGAACACCGTAAACAGGGGTTCCAACGAAAAGACAAGGATCCCTCACGATGCTTTTCTCCTCCCAAATACAGGAAAAAACGTCCCCTGAACTTTACTACTTGTCCGTGTTGCTGTCGGTGGGCAGCGTGGTTTCCACAGGTGAGCAAAACTTCCCCAGCAGCCTGTGCTTGTCAGGGGCTTAGTGGTCCTTCGAGGACAGGGCTGTCCCCTTGTAAGAGAAGCCCCAGCTCCTCTTAAAGCAAACGCTCCAAGAAACACAGGAAGTAGAAAAGCAAAGAGAGAGCACAGAGGGTTAGAATAGGACATGAAAAGCAATCCTTTTCATGTGATGTCCATTTAATTAGATCCCCTTCTTCATCCTGCAGTGCTTTTCTCGGGCCTGGGGCTGACGTGGCTGGGCGGTGGGACCCGCGCACGACCAGACGCTAAAGCAATGGTCTAATGTTGGCATCTGAGCCCTGCTGGTCGCCCGTCCCCCACAGAGGGGGTCAGCAGGCCAGCCTGTCCCAGCAGCCTCGGCACCTGACCACTGCCAGCGAGCAGGTCAGCTCCTACCCTGCTACCCCGGAGTCCAGTGGCCCGCGGACATCAGAGCTAAGACAAAGGGAAGCGCATCAGAACCAGTCATCTGAAAGAAAGTTGTCTTCAAGTGTTAATGAGCACGGACAATGCATCAAAAGGAACAGTTCAACCCAAATCACCAGACTGACATCATGACCAAATTCGCCCCAAATAAGGATGTTCTTTTAGGGGCACCTGGGTGGTTCATTTGGTTAAGCGTCCAACTTCGGCTCAGGTCATGATCTCACGGTTTGTGGGTTCAAGCCCCATGTCAGCGTCTGTGCTGACAGCCAGGTCAAAGCCTGAAGGCTGCTTCCGATTCTGTGTCTCCCTCTCCCTGTGGCCCTCCCCTGCTCATGCTGCCTCTCTCTCTCTCTCAAAAATAAATTAAAAAAACATTTAAAAAATTTTTTAAAAAGGATGTTCTTTTAAATACTTTCAAGATTATTACTCTCTCAGAATTTCCTTTTTTATTTCATGAAAATATTATCATCAGGTGGATGGTTGCTATAGAAACAAGCACTGAAAAGGAAGAAGGAAAATGTAAACCTCAGTAATGAACAAAGGTTTGGTTTCGGGCACCTGGGTGGCTCAGTCAGTTAAGCATCTGACTTCAGCTCAGGTCATGGTCTCACGATTCGTGAGGTGGAGACCTACATTGGGTGGACATGAGCCCTGCTTCAGGAGAGCCCGCTCCTCTCCCTCTAGCTCTCTCTCTCTGCCCCTCGCTCACCTGCATGCGCACGCGCTCTCTCTCTCTCTCTAAAAAAAAAAAAAAAACCCACAAAGATTTAGTTTCAAAAGAACACAGTGATTCAGACTGTGTGTTTGAACAATCTATTGTTCTTTAAAAATGTAATGGGAAATTTTAAAGTAAAACTAACCACAATCTCCACCACATGAGTCACAACAATCTTTTACATCAGGACAGTCGATTGTTGTCTAGAGAAAATAGCCAATTGACCTTCATGATGTTTTTTGTCTTCTTGCTTCTTCTGTGTGTATTCACAGATCCTGAGGTTTTTCAGTAGGAGCTAGTGAATCACAGATGTTCTCAACCTCTTCCTCTATTTCTTGAGGAAAAGAACTATCTGTTGGCAGGAGGATCAAATTCAATATAAACATCTCCCAGCACATGTAGGACAGACACAGGCCTTCACAAGTGGGAATGGCTGTTTCTACCTGCTTCTCTATTCAGGTAGCCCCTGCTGGAGGGGAAGTTACCTACCAAACACACCATCCATCCAACATGCTGACTTTTCTGAGCACTTTCCAAATTTCAAACCTAGTGTTGAAACTTAGGAATTAGAAACTCGATTGGGGGTGCCCGGCTGGCTTAATCGGTAGAGCATGCGACTCTCAATGTCCAAGTTGTGAGTTCGAGCCCCCATGTTAAAGGGAGAGATTACTTTAAAAAAACAAAGCAAATCTCTAAATTCTCAGCCACCTGGCTGATTTAGTCTGTAGAGCATGTGCCTCTGAATCTTGGGGGTGTGAGTTCAAGCCCGACACTGGGTATAGAGCTTACTTTAAAAAGTAAATAAATAAAATTAAAATATATATATATATATATATATATATACACAGCCCAGAAACAACAAACCAAATATTTATGTTAAACAGCTGGAATTTGCATATATTAACAATGAAACCCTCTGAAATAATTCAACTACGATTAACAGAAACTATTTAAAAGTAACAGGGGGCATCTAGGTGGCTCAGTCAGTTAAGTGGCCGACTTCGGCTCAGGGCATGATCTCACGGTTTGTGGGTTTGAGCCCTGCATTGGGCTCTGTGCTGACAGTTAGCTCAGAGCCTGGAGCCTGTTTCAGATTCTGTACCTCTCTCTCTCTGTGACCCTACCCTGCTCATGCTGTCTCTCTCACAGAAATAAATAAAACTTAAAAAAAAAAAAAGGTAACACAACCTAGGGGTACCTGGGTGGCTCAGTTGGTTAAGCATCTGACTTTGCCTCAGGTCATGATCTCATGGTTCATGAGTTCAAGCCCCACATTGGGCTCTGTGCTGACAGCTCAGAACCTAGAGCCTGCTTCCAATTCTCTGTCTCCCTCTTTCTCTGCCCCTCCCCCAGGCACTCTCCCCCTGCTCAAAAATTAAAAAAAGAATTTATGCTCTTAACTATGTCACAAGATTGACCATGGTACAAGGTATCTACTGGTAGGCATTTAAAAGAGGTCCACATGTTCAGAGAGCCCTTGGCTCATGTACTGCTTGTTAGCACTCGAGTTTCATCTGCCCCAGCACTTTTCCCACCTAGTTGGAGCAACCCATCCTCTCCGGGCTCCCATCCCAAGTCCAAGTTAAAATGTCCTAAACTCTGCAGCTGCCAAGTAGTATTTACCTGGTTTCTCAATTAGGACTCCCAGCTCTGAGGTCATTTCCTCCCATGCTCTCTCTGGTGACCACCCACCTCATGTGTTATCCTTCTTTTTACAATTTCTTCTCTTTCTTCCCCATCCCCCCTCCAAAACCCGGATTCTATATTTGTTTGACAACTGGAACCCAAACCAATTTCTCTTACTTATGCTCTAGGAACATTTTTTTCATTATCCATTAACTCTAAACAAGAGCTCAGAGAAAGGCGTCGGCATAGAAGTGCTAAATCAAATGAGGTCACTGGGAAAGAAGAGCAGGTAAACACAACGCAGGATCAGGTGAGGCCCTTCCTCCACAGCTCTGTGCCAGCACACACTAAAACCCACACAAATGCCTGAACGGAACATCCTGGTATCCTCATCAAAATCAGGGGAAGTACACAATGAGCAAATGTTTATTTCGCAAGTTCTTCAAACTGGGAACCAACCAATATTTTTCAGTTTCCTTTTGTTTGGCACTGACCCTATTTGCTTCCAGGGGCTCCACACCACTCAAAACGTTGACACTTCTTCATGTGTCCGCATAACAAAAATCGGAGATAATTAAAGTAACAGTCACTTACTTTCACAAAGGAAATTCTGTGAACCTCAAGTGTTTTTGCAAGGTAGGTTAATGGAACCATTCCAATTGTGCCAACAGTCTTCTCTTCAGTTGGGCTAGAACAGTGATTTCACATCCAGCTTCTAACTCTGAAAAACAGTTTATGGTAGTAAGAAATTCTACAATTAGAAATGGCAGAAGTGATTCATTCTGGTCGACTTCTATGGTAACCTTAGTTGGAAGTCTGTTTGGGGTGGCAGGAATGGCTTTAAAGACAACACCTCAGGGTGGGGGGGGCCTGAAAGGCTCAGATGGTTAAGCCACCACCTCCTGATTTTGGTGGAGGTCATGATCTCACAGTTTTGTTCCCGAGGTCGAGGCCTAAAGCAGGCTCTGCGCAGACAGCATAAAGCCTGCTTGAGATTCTCATACGCACTCTCTCTCAAAAAACGTAAACTCAAAAAAATAACGTTTTACAAGCAACACCTCTGTAACAATTTTGCCGTCAACCCTGCTGTGGTCTTGGAGACCATGGACTCGAGAACAAGGGCTGAGAACACCAGAAAATGGTTTCCACCCAGTTTTCTCTGTAACTTTCAACCACTGCCCAACAGCGAGTAGTGTCCGCAAGGGGTGTGAGTGTCAAACCGCTTCCGGACGGTGGGTCTCGCCTTTACACGTGGAAAAATGGATTTCGGAGGAAAGAGAAGTGCTCCAGAATGGAAAACTTTCTCCTCCGCCCACCACCCACCTCCACCAAACCCAAGAAGCCTCTAGAAAGGGACTTTTTTTTTTTTTAACCTGTTCAGAGGGGACCAGAGGAAAATTTACCGAGCCTCTTGGTTCCACGGAAAGATGGAAAGAATGAAGGAGCAAAACTTCTTGCCTCAGGCAAGAAATATGACCTTGCCTGGAGGACCGTTACATCTGCCCCTCAAAGATCCCGCCATCTTGGGTTCCCCTCTACGTACGACAGAAAGAGTCCTTCCTGGGCTGAATCCCCTAAAGACTGAGTTCAGAAGGGGTCCAGCCAGGGGACTTACCACTCAGGGTCGCCGGCCCGAGTCCTCCCGGAGACGACCCGCAGCCCGGACGCCAGAAAGGGAAACACCAGAGGCCGCATCCTCATTGGCTCCCGGAGGCCGGAAGTGCATGCGTCTGGCGGAAGTGCTCCTCCTGCGAGCGTCCGCCCGGCCCGGACCCTCAGGTAGGCGGGGCCCCTGGCTCCCAACTTTGGGACCAACGCGGTGGCGGAGGCGCAGAGGGGACCCAGAGGGCCCGAGGAGGCTGTTCTGGGTCTGCTCTGGGGAGGGGGCGTCGGAAGAGTTTCGGGGGCGGGGGTTCCCGGCCACCTCTGCTGGCAGGTGGGGCCTAGTCGAGCCCGGCCGCCGCAGGACCCAAGTGCGGGAGCTTCGAGTTCCCCCGTGCGGACGGGATTTGGGGCTGCGGCCCGAGCTGCTCCCTGACGCGTCCGGATGGTTGAGGTCCAGACGCTGCTCACGTCCAGCCGGGAAAACGTGTGCTCTCCGCCCTTCTCCCTGATGCTGGGTTTGACAGCTTCCCTCCAGGCGTGCGGGGGTGCAGGGCTTTCCCCCAGTCATGCCCGCGACCTCTCTAGGGAGCCTCAGGCTGCCCGAGGCGCAATAGAGGGAGAAAACGGGCTCCCTCCCTCCCTTACCCCGCTGTCCTCCACCCCCCGCCGTGGTGTCTTCCTGAAACGGAAAGGGTGTGTTTCGAACCCAGGCTGCTCAGGTGGAAGTTATCTGGACTGCGTTAGGCCAAGTTTATATAAAGTGAATGAAACTACTTGTTGATGGTTTCCTATTCCTCAGCCAACTCCACCTCCCAGTGGGTTGAACTTTGAGCTTCTTGTAGCTCTGATGAACAGTTTGGCTTTCGTCAAGTTTATGACGCTTGGAACTACAACAGTTGGAGGTTTATGCACTTTGGGACCGGGCAACATTGTGCGGAGTTCAAAGTGCTAAGAGGCCAGGTGAGCGTGAAAGGAGCATCTTCCGCTCCAGATTTACAGTTTTTGAGCAGGCTTTCGGCAGCTCTGTGAAAGGTGCACCGCCTTTATTGACTACTAGGTGGTGCCAGCGAGTTAATCTTTCTAGGATAAATTTCGAATAACGAGCAGTGCCAGGATGCGGCTTTTTTTTTTCATTATTGCAAAAACGAATTCTAATTTTTAATCTTTAGTTTGATTGCTTTAAGTACGGTGCTGACCCCAGCTGTGCCGAAAGGGCTCTGGCGACCTTCATAGCAGCACACACCTGCGGGTCTTCTTCTGTTCTGGAGGCTCCAGGGCAGCCAATATTGCTTCGTCAAATACATTCTTTAGGCCTTTCTGTGTGAGTGCAGAACACTCCACGTACTTGACCGCCTTCAGGTCACGGGCCAGCTTTTCACCAGTCTCTGGAGTGATAGTCTTCTGTTTGTTCTTGGCAAGTTTCTCAATCGTAGAGGGGTCATCTCGGAGATCAATTTGGGCCCCAACAAGCAAGAAAGGAGTCTTTGGACAGTGGTGAGTTATCTCAGGCACCCACTTCTCCTTCACATTTTCAAATGAAGATGGAGAGACCACTGAAAAACAGACTAGAAATACATCTGTTTGTGGATAACTCAGTGGTCGTAATCTGTCATAATCCTCTTGCCCTGCAGTATCAAAAAGTCCAAGAGTATATGGCTCTCCACCAATCATAACTGTGACTGCATAGTTGTCAAAAACAGTCGGTAGATACTCCGATGGAAATTTGTTTGTTGTGTAGGATATCAGGAGACATGTTTTACCAACGGCACCATCGCCCACAACAACACACTTAATTGTCTGCATTGCTGAAACAGTTTTGTATCCACTTTAAATATTTCAAGTTCAATGACCGCAGCTTCTCCGCCAGGGCGTTGGCCCAGCTTTTATTTTTTTAATTAAAAAAATTTTTTAACTTTTATTTATTTTTGAGAAACAGAGACAGAGCATAAATGGAGAAGGTGCAGAGAGAGAGGGAGACACAGAATCCCAGGCAGGCTCCGGGCTCTGAGCTGTCAGTACAGAGCCCGAAGCAGGGCTTGAACCCACGAACTGTGAGATCAAGACTTGAGCCGAAGTCGGATGCATAACTGACTGAGTCACCCAGGCGCCCCCAGGATAAGGCTTTTAAAGTGTCCCCTTCTTCCCTGAAGTTTATTTAAAATAGTTTTACCCCTTCAAAATATCTGGTACCTTTATGCACTTTATCCAGTTATTGAATATCTATTCTCTACTAAATGCTGAGGATGCTAAAAGAGGAATGAAACTCATTTTCTCCTCTCTGAGAGTTTAGTCTGGAGAGGAAGACAGACCAATAATGTGCTATAATGAAAGCACATATAATTTAAGGCAGGATAACTACTAAGTAGAGAATAAGATGTGAAATGCAATGGAAGAAGCAATCATTATTCATTTACCAATTATTTATCCAGTACTTTATGTCTGCCCAACATTATGGTAGCTGCTAATGTATAAAGAAGTGCCTGTGTGGTTCAGGTGGTTGAGCTCAGGTCATGACCTCACTTTTTGTGACTTCAAGCCCCTTGTGGGAATTTGAGCTCCCTGTGCAGAGCCTGCTTTGAATTCATTCTCTCTCTCTCTCTCTCTCCCCCCCTTCCTCACTCATTCATTCTCTCACTCAAAGATAAATAAATATTTAAAAAGAAAATCCCTAGTCACAAATAATTTAGTGATTGAGAGGAAACCAAGAAAGACATTATGGAGAAGCTGAAACTTGAAACTCGAACTAGAGCTTGATTACCTGGGCTTCATAGGTACCAAAAAAAAAAAAAAAGCACGCTTAGAGGAAAAGAATGAAAGTGCATGGCATGTTTCGAAACAGCAAGTAGTACTCACTTCGGCAGCACATATACTAAAATTGAAACAGCAAGTAGTTCAGTAGTTCAGCATGGTTAGACTGTAGGAAATTGAGCCTGAAAAGACACTGTCAGTTTTAGGTTTGGCTCAACTTTCACTGGAAAATTCAACAGATATAAAAATTTTTAAATTTTTTTAACTTTTTTTGTTGTTTTGAGAGAACGAGCTTGCAAGCAGGAGAGAGGGGCAGAGGGAGAGAATCTCAAGCAGGCTCCAAGATCAGTGTGGAGCCTAACTCAGGGATCCATCCCACAACCCTGAGATCATGACCTGAGCCAAAATCAAGAGTCACATGCTCAACCAACTGGGCCACCCAGGTGCCCTTAAAATAAAGTTTATTTATTTGTTTATTTTTATTTATTTATTTTAATGTCTATTTTTGAGAGAGAGAGAGACAGAGCACAAGGAAAGTAGGGGCAGAGAGAGAGGGAGACACAATCCAAAGTAGGCTCCAGGCTCCAAGCTGTCCTCACAGAGCCTGATATGGGACTTGAACCCATGAGCTGTGAGATCATGACCTGAGCCAAAGTCCAATGCTCAACTGACTGAGCCACCAGATGTCCTATTTATTTGTTTGTTTGTTTATATTTAAAATGTTTATTTTTGAGAGCCAGAGAGAGAGTGCTAGTGCACACATGTAAGCAGGGGAAAGGCCAAGAGAAACGGAGAGAGAAAATCCCAGGCAGGCTCTATGCTGTCAGCATAGATTCCAGTGTGGAGCTCAATCCCACCAACCATGAGATCATGATCTGAACAGAAACTAAGTCAGACACTTAGCCAGCTGAGCCTAAAATAAAATTTAAATTATATTTCCCAAGAGAAATTATACATGAAGCATGGCTATAATAATTACACTTTTGATTAACCTATTATACATGACGTATAGCTATAATAAGTTCCACTTCTGGCTATATTGTAGCCTATTTATATGTATGTATCATTAATCATTGTAGATGATTTAAACTGATTTTAAAAGGGATAGCAGTAAGAATAGATTTTCACTGATTACATTCCATTTTTCTTTAATTTCTTTAAAAAAACTTTTTTTAATGTTTGTTTATTTCTGAGAAGCAGAGAGAGACAGAGCACAAGCAAGGGAGGGGCAGAGAGAGACACAGAATCGGAAGCAGGCTCCAGGCTCTGAGCTGTCAGCGCAGAGCCCGACACAGGGCTCAAACCCATGGACTGTGAGATCGTGACCTGAGCTGAAGTCGGACGCTCAACCAACTCAGCCACCCAGGCGCCCTGGTTACATTCCATTTTGAAATATGATATAAGGAATTCTCTTCATTGACGTTCATATACCAGATCATCTGGTGGTGATTATGTGTAGGAAATTTTTAAATGCTTTAATAAGTTACCCTAGGATTTAGGTTTTGATGAATCGTTATACCTAATATTAAGCAAAACATGTTTCCTAAAAGAAATGTAAGTTTAGTTTTTATAAATGGAAAAACTTAAACACTGTGTTGTTGTTGTGGTTTTTAAGTTTATTTATTTACCGTGAGTGAGAGAGAGTTCGGGGGACAGACATAGAAGGAGAGAGAAAGAATCTCTCAGGCTCCACACTGCCAGCACAGGGCTCAACCCAGGGCTCAAACCCACGAACTGTGAGATCATGACCTAAGCCAAAACCAAGAGTCGGACCCTTAACCAACTGAGCCACCCAGGCACCCCTTAAACACTATAAATATTGAGATAAATGCATCCAATACCAACACACCAAAATCAGCAGCTCTTATCTACACTAGCAATAATCAGGATTGGGATTCTTTCTCTCTCTCTCTTTTTCTCAAAAAAAAAAAAAAAAAAGCTGAATGTAAAAAAAGAAAAATTTATATAAGTCTTAGAATACAAAACAGTATGTTTTTTTAAATCTTAAGATGGTTAGGGCCTGCCTTCATGGGACATAAAACTAAGAAGTCAGAAGAAGACAGATTTGGCCATTAAAAATAATTTATCTTTGGGCGCTTGGATGGCTTAGCTTGTTAAGTGTCAGACTTTGGCTCAGGTCATGATCTCACAGTTTGTGAGTTCAAGCCCCTCATCAGGCTCTCTGCTATCAGCACAGAGCCCGCTTCGGGTCTTCTGTCTCCCTCTCTCTCTGCCCCTCTCCTGCACGCACACATGTGTACATGCACACCCTCTCTCTCAAAAATAAACAATAATAATTTTATCATGGCCAAAAAAACACCAATAAGTAAAATTTAAAGTCAAGAGACAAGAGATAATATTTGCAACATAACTGCAAAGGCTTCATACTCCTATAAATCAGTAAGAGAAAAATAATCCAGGGGCACCTGGGTGGCTTAGTCGGTTAAGCGTCCAACTTTCGCTTAGGTCATGATCTCACGGTTCGTGGGTTCGAGCCCCGCGTCGGGCTCTGTGCTGACTGCCAGCTCGGAGACTGGAGCCTATTTCAGAGTCTGTATCTCCCTCTATCTCTGACCCTCCCCTGCTCACGCTGTCTCTCTCTCTCTCTCTCTCTCTCTCTCTCCTAGAAATAAATAAAAATATTTTTAAAAAGAGAGAGAGAAAAGTAATCCAGGGGCACATTTCCAAAGGAAAAATTCATATCAAAAATTGTTAGTGCCCACAAGCCGTTAGGTAAATGCACATAAAACCAACAAGATAATACAAGGAGTGTTCTGAGTCCTGGAAAATACTTATTAAGAATGAAAAAGAATGTTACAGTGAATCTTTTTGTAATGCAAAAAGATCTGATATATTTCTTTTTTTCTTAATGTTTTTATTTATTTATTTTGAGAGAGAGAAAAAGAGAGTATATGCGAGCAGGAGAGAGGCAGAGAAAGAGAGAGAGAGAGAATCCCAACTGGGCTCTGCACTGCGGAGTCCCATGCAGAGTTCAGCCCCACTAATGGTGAGATCGTGACCTGAGTAAGGGTTGGCTGCTTAACACAGTGAGCCACCCAGGTGTCCCAGCCCCCATCTATTTCTTTCCTTTTTTTTTAAGTTTATTTATTTATCTTGAGAGAGAGAGAGAGAGCAGGAGAGGGCCACAGAGAGAATTCCAAGCAGGCACTGTATGCATTGTCAGCACAGAGTCCACTGTGGGGCTTGAACTCACAAACTGTAAGATCATGACTTGAGCTGAAATCAAGAGGCGGGCACTTAACCGACTGAGCCACCCAGGCACCCCCCGATCTATTTCTTTATAAAATTGTGTGTTCAGGGGCGCCTGGGTGGCTCAGTTGGTTGAACATCTGGCTTCGGCTCAGGTCATGATCTCATAGTTCATGAGTTCGAGCCCCGCATCGGGCTCACTGCTGTCACTGCAGAGCCTGCTTTGGATCCTCTGTCCTCCTCTCTCTTGGCCTCTTCCTACTCGTGCGTGTGCTCTCTTTCTCTCAAAAATAAATAAACATTTTTAAAAGATTGTGTTTTTAACTACCAAATTTGTTTAAAGTAAGGTGGACCAATAGTGAAGATGTTTAATTAATTTGTCAAGTCAGTTAAGAAGACTGCTGGGCATTTTTGTAGGGTGTTACTAGTATATGAGTTTAAACTTTTAGACCTAAAATGAAATTCTCTTTGCACAACTGTCTTTCCCACACCTGTAGCTCAGGATGAACATAGCCCATTGTAAATTGTACTGGTATGTGGAATCATTTCAAATAACCAAATATATACTGTATGTGGGCTTATCGTTCTTCCTAGAGATCAAAATGGCTTCCAGAGGAAAGACAGAGACAAGCAAATTAAAGCAGAATTTAGAAGAACAGTTGGATAGACTCATGCAGCAATTACAAGATCTAGAGGAGTGCAGGTAAGAGTGTAACAGTGCTACTTGCAGTCCAGTGGCTTTTTTTCTGCAGCTAGATTACAAGCTCTGGGTGCAGGCCCATTGTGATTTCGGTTTTCCCCGTGGTGTTCTTCACAGTGCTCTGTCTCTTGGAGAAATACACTCAGTGCAAGCTTTGGAGTCATAAAAGTAACCCCCTTAAGTTTCCATTTCCTTGAGTGTGAAGTGAAAATAATAACACCTACCTTCTCTTCAGTATTTAAAACAGCCCTGCTTGGTCTAAAACTGAGAAGATACTACTTGAACTTCCCATGTATTTTCAACTTTAACTGTTCAAAGGACCAAAAGTTCATTGCCTTTTTTAACTACTTTGAAAGGTTGTTGTAAATATTTCAAATCAAGGGGCCAAAACAATATTTGGCTCAGAGTTGGTGCTCAATAAATGGTAGCTGTCGTTAAATTTGCAGTGAATGTTTAATAAATGGCTTGTTCAAGTAGTGAATAAAAATAGCTTCTTATGCAGAAGATAGGTGGTACATTGCTGTTGTATTTCAAGGTGCACAGAATTTTACCTACCATCAGTGATGATCATAAAAGAAATGGCTGTATTGTCAAGTACCTATTGTTTGTCCAGCACTTTCTGCATTTCATTTAATGCTCATAGCGGCCTATAAGGTAGTACTATCATTATCTGTGGCTTATAGATCAAGAAACCCGATCTGAGGCTCGGCCGTGTTGAGTGTCTTGCCCAAGGTTATGCATTGATTCATAGAGTGCTTAAAAGGAAGTTATTATGTGGTTTGTTAAGTGTGCCTCATTTTGGTAAAAGAAGAATGTTTAATTATCAAAGTAACCACATTGCAGGAAAACGCCCATATTACTAACATCTGAACACATCCATTATTAGCATTTTGTTTCCTTTCAGCCTTATCCCTCAAGATATTTTTTGTAAATATGTGTATATGAAGTCTTAGAGTCCAAGTATTAGATTGGATATTCTGGCACTTAGAACTCTGTTTTTGTATATTATGTTTGCTGTACTTCAGGGAGGAACTTGATACAGATGAATAAGAAGAAACCAAAAAGGAAACTCTGGAGCAACTAAGTGAATTTAATGATTCACTGAAGAAAATTATGTCTGGAAACATGACTTTGGTAGATGAGCTGAGCGGAATGCAACTGGTGAGCATAATTTACTTACATTAGCGACACAGACCGTTTTTCTCTCTTTTTTTAGTAAGTATATTTAAGATAGAAAAGAAACCCTTTTTGGGGGTTTAACTTCTAGGTGAGCATCTGCTTATCAGTAAACCGGCATGAGCTTCCAGATCATCATTCAGTATGTATTTGTCTCCAGTGACAGGCACAGAAATGACAGATGGAAACTAAAATTAAAACTGTGTTTGATGAACAAAGACCTGAACAGTTACCTGTTAGTAATTGAAGATTTATCAATTACTGTAATATCTGATTCATCGAAATATTTTGCTTAGTTTTTGCCTTCTTGTATTCTAGGCTATCCAGGCAGCCATCAGCCAGGCCTTTAAGACCCCAGAGGTCATCAGATTATTTGCAAAGAAACAACCAGGTCAACTTCGGACAAGGTTAGCAGAGGTAAAGTCTCTTTAAATTGATTTCATTGCTGTGCGTGTTTCTTTCCTCAGCTCCCGAATCTGCTCATTATGTTAGTCAGAAGTTTAAAAATTGGTCAGTTGAGAATGTACCCCACCGCCAGGAGTGAACCCTAATGTTTAGGCTGTGGACTTGGGAGTGTGTTGTGTCAGTGAACCTCTCTGGTGGGGGGTGTTCATGATGAGGAGGTTGTGCTTGAGTGGGGACAGGGGGGATATGGGAAATCTTTGTACCGTTTACCCAATTTGCTGTGAACCTCACACTGCTCTTAAAAATAGTCAATTACTAAAAAAAAAAAATTGGTCACTTGATTTTAGAGCCACAACCCACAGTTTTCTGACAAAATTAGTCTTGAGCAATTATTGTCGATAATGAACATAGAGGTGTAAATAGCATATGGCAGTTTAAACTGCTACTAACTGCTTCTACTTGAACCCCACCTTTCAGGGTTGACCATTTATTTCCGAAGCCCTGAGTTGAAATGCCATCTAGAGTTCACTAGCAGCATTGGTTTCTGCACATGTGGCCTTTATCTAAGAATTTCAAACATCTCTATAAACCAGGATTTGACAAAGTCTGTATATAGACCTAGATATAATTAAGGCATTAACGAGTGATTTGCACCCACTGGTAATTCAGTACCATAGTGGTTAAGAGCATGGACTTGGGTCAGACTGGCAGGATTTGTATCCCTGCTCTTTACTTTCAATAGTTTTAACATTAATAATCTTTGTTTTTATGTTTATTTATTTTTGAGAGAGAGAGAGAGAGCATAAGTTGGGGAGGGGCAGAGAGAGGGAGACACAGAATCCGAAGCAGGCTCCAGGCTCTGAGCTGTCAGCACAGAGGCCAATGTAGGGCTCGAACTCACAAACTGTGAGATCATGACCTGAGCTGAAGTCAGAGGCTTAACCGACTGAGCCACCCAGGTGTCACAATAAGCTTTTTAATAAATATTACTATTGAAGTTGAATATGTTATTCAACTTGTGCCTCAGTTTCCCTATCTATAAAAAGGTGGTAGTTCCTACCTCTTAAGGTTGTTATGAGGAGTAAATGAAATAATATGTGTAAAGCATGTACTGTATGTACTACGTAATGTGTGTAAAGCACATGGAATGGTACCGGGCACAGTACCTGCTATCCATGTTTCTGACGACAGAGATGATATTTAACCAACGCACCTGGAGACCTGATACCAGTTATCTCATTCAAGCGTATAGGCCACACTTCAGTTTAAGGGAATGAGTTCTTAGAGGATAGCCTCTCTCTAAAGGAAGCTTTTGACCTACCAGTTCCTCAATAAAATTTATAATCAAGGCAGTGGTTATGATTAGCATTAAGATTTATTAGAACTGAGGGACACCTGGCTGGCTCAGTCAGTGGAGCATGTGACTCTTGATCTCAGGGTTGTGAGTTTGAGCCTGACACTGGGTATAGAGATTACAAAAAAAAAAAAAAAGAACATTGATTAATTAGAGCCATGCAATTATATTTCTGACATGTTTGCCTTGAATTGATTCTATAGTTTTCTTTAAGATTAATGAACTAGAGGATCCTTTTTCTTTAAGAGAAAGTAGATCTGGGGGCACCTGGGTGGCTCAGTCAGTTAAGTGGCCGACTCTTGATTTTGGCTTAGGTCATGATCTCTCAATTGGTGGGTTAGAGGCCTGCATTGGGCTCTGTGCTCATAGCCCAGAGCCTGCTTGGGATTCTCTCTCCTCCTCTCTCTCTGCCCCTTCCCTGCTATCTCTTTCTTTCTCAAAAAAAAAAAAAACTGAAAATCTAGGTAAAACATTTTGTGGGTTTTTTTTTTTTAATGTTTATTCATTTTGAGAGGGAGAAAGAGAGCACGAGCAGGGGAGGGGCAGAGGATCTGAAGCAAGTTCTGCACTGATAGCAAAGAGCCGCACGTGGGGCTCAAATCCATGAACTGTGAGGTCATGACCTGAGCCAAAGTCAGATGCTTTTTTTCTTCCTTTTAATTTATTTCTGAGAGAGAGACAGCATGAACAGGGGAGGGTCAGAGAGAGGGAGACACAGAATCAGAAACAGGCTCCAGGCTCCGAACTGGCTGTTAGCACAGAGCCTGACGCGGGGCTCGAACCCACAAACCATGAGATCATGACCTGAGCCAAAGTCGAATGCTTAACCACCTGAGCCACCCCAGGTGCCCGGGACACAAAGTTTCTAACTTAAGTACCATATTCTTTGCATTCATCCATTTCAGATGGATAGAGATCTCATGGTAGGAAAGCTGGAAAGAGGCCTATACACTCAACAGAAAGTGGAGATACTCACGGCTCTCAGGAAACTTGGAGAGAAGGTAGCTATATTTAATTTCATATATCAGGTATGAAGAAAAGGTATAAAGTATTTGGTACAGAACTTCTTGCTCTGTGATGTACTTTGTGGTGCTGAGACATTCTGAAAGGTGCTTCCTAGAACCGCGTGTTAAGATCTGAATCGGCTCCCTCGGGCTGTGCTTTGTTTTGTTTCGTTCAGCTGACCGCGGATGATGAGGCCTTCTTGTCCGCAAACGCAGGTGCTGTGCTCAGCCAGTTTGAGAAAGTGTCTACAGACCTCGGTGAGTCTCCTTGTGTTTCTGAGAGCTGGCCTGGCAGTACCACTGCAGATTAGCGGGTACCAAGAGTGAGATAACAAGATGGCCTTATCTTGAGTGTAGAAGTAAAACCAGGGGTGCCTGGGCGGCTCACTCTGACTCTTGATCTCAGCTCAGGTTGTGATCACAGGGTCCTGAGTTCAAGCCCTGCACTGGGCTTCGTGCTGGGCATGAAGCCTACTTTAAAAAAAAAAGAAAAAAATAGAGGTGAAACCAGAAGTGTTTTCTTTATAAATCTCTTGACTTCTTCATTAAAAATAGTAAATTAATATACCCTAATATTTTAAAAATACTTGTCAGCTAGCAGGTGCCTGGGTGGCTCAGTCAGTTGAGTGTCCGACTTTGGTTCAGGTCATGATTTTGCAGTTCATGGTTTGGAGCCCTGCATCCAGCTCTGTGCTGACAGCTCAGAGCCTGGATCCTGCTTCAGATTCTGTGTCTCCCTCTCTCTCTGACCCTCCCGTGCCTGTGCACTCGCTCTCTCTTTCTCTCTAAAATGAATAAACATTAGGGGGCGCCTGGGTGGCTTAGTCGGTTAAGCGTCCGACTTTCGCTTGGGTCATGATCTTGCCTTTCGTGGGTTCGAGCCCCGCGTCGGGCTCTGTGCTGACTGCCAGTTCAGAGCCTGGAGTCTGTTTCAGAGTCTGTGACTCCCTCTCTCTCTGACCCTCCCCTGCTCACGCTGTCTCTCTCTCTCCTAGAAATAAATAAAAAATATTAAAAAAAAAAATGAATAAACATTAACATAAATAAATAAATAAATTTGTCAGCTAAATATAAATATAAAAATAAACTAAAATTTTATATATTATATTTCATATTTAAAGTTAGAATAAGGGGGCACCTGGCTGGCTCAGTTGGTAGAACATACAACTCTTTCTTTTTTTTTTTTTTTTTAATTTAAAGTTTATTTATTTTGAGAGAGAAAGAGAGAGACAGTGTGAGTCAGGGAGGGGCAGACAGAGAAAGAGAGAGAATCCCAAGCAGGCTCTGCGCTGTCAGTGTAGCGCTTGCAACTCTTGATTTAGGGGTCGTGAGTTTGAGCCCCACATTGCAAGTAGAGATTACTTAAAAATAAAGTAACTAAGTGAAGTCAGTAAGTTAGAGTAAGGATTTGTAGCCAATAAATCATCCCCTGTGTGTAAGATATTTGTGCAGGGGAGAGGAAATTGGGACTTGGTACTGGGAAAGTTTAGGGGAAATGCTCTGATAATAGAAGCTAGTTTTATTTTCTGTTTCGATATCGATGGACCTGTAAGTGCATCTGAAATGACTGTTTGTTTATTGTGTTTGTTTCTTCGTAGGCTCCGGAGACAAAGTTCTTGCATTGGCAAGTTTTGAGGTTGAAAAAACAAAACAATGACGCGGTGCGGCGGCTTGGGACATTGGTCACATTCTTGCTGTAAATGGCGTTTGTCTCCTACGGATTTTGAATCATTGCAAAGAAGAGATTCTTGAAATGCATTGATAACCTAAGAAACGGTGACAAAATATGCTTTGGCTTCTGGTTATCCCCTTCCTCATTGTGTTCCAGGCCTGCCTGCCTGCGGGATCCCAAATTGTTGGGGTACGGAACCCATCGGACCTTATTCGTTATGTCTTGTGTGAGAGAAGGAACAGAGAACAGTCTCTCGGCCTGTTTTTATTAAGCCTCCTTGTTTCAAGTGCTGACAGTAAATGAAAAGATGTGAACTAATGATTCTCTTCTCTCATAATTTATCCCCATTTGTTGGAGTGAATAGTGTAGCAGCATCAGTAGGCGGTCATGTGTGTTTGTAGAATTTCAGAGTTCTAAGTGATCTTGGAAACCATTTTCATCTTATAACCAAGGAATCTGAGGCTCAGAAAGAGCAAGTTGACTTGCTGAAAGTCCCATCCGAGACCGACTGGTGAGGAGACTTGGGGATCCTGACTCTCGGTTTAGCGTCCATTGAGTTTTGTTTCTTTATTCTGTGCTGGTTTTAAAAACTAATTAACACATATTTGGGCAAGTCTGTGTTTATGAAAATTCCCAACGAAAAGTTGTCAGTGAGGGACAGTTCCCCCAGCCTGTAGGGCCTCCGAATGAAAGGGGCCCATTGTGTCCCTGAGTTGTGAGCTTGGAACAATGGGAGCCCTGTTGAGAGTCTCCTGGTGTAACTTAACCTCCTGCTTTGTTTCACCGAGGAAGCAATCGGAAGTGGCAGCTAGGTTCCCCCCCCCCATGTGTGACCTCTTTGCTGAGACCCAGAGCGTGGTGACTGGAAACTATGATTTATTCTTCTGTTTTTGGAGAAACACACTAAGTTAGGAGGAAGCACGTACTCTGGAGTGTTTATACTTCTGTTCGTGCTCACATACGTAGATTTCCCCACGCGCGTGTCTGCTAGCTTCTTTTCTAGGCTCTGGCCATTTATGCTTTTTCATGCATGTCTCAGTTTTCTTTCCCTTTGCACTTTATACAGATTAAAAACATTTCTGAAGCTTCTCGTGTACTGTAAACTCTACTAGGTGCTCTGCCAGCTGGACAAAGGAGGGACCTCAGCTGCATTAATGCCTTATTTGGAACTCTTAATGGGTAACTTTTTATATATTGGTTTATAGTGGTCAGAAACCCACTGAAATTGTGACAAACCAACAAAAAGCAAATTACCTGCTATTCATGTAGGATTTTATGGTCAATCATCATTATTTTATTATTCTGCATTTGTTTGTTTGTTTGTTTGTTTGTTTTTTCAAGTCATCTCTACACCCCAGTGGGGCTTGAACTCAGGATCCCGAGATAGGGTCTCATGCTCTACCAACTGAACCAGCCAGGCGCCCCTAGCCTGCATTTTTTTAATCGAGGTGAAAGTCATATGATATAAAATTCACAAATGCACAGTTCAGTGGTGTTTCGTATCTTCACAGTGTTGTGTCATCTAGTTCCAGAACATTTTCACCACCCCCAAAGGAGACCCCACACCCATTAAGCAGTCACTCCCCGTGCCCTCCTCCACATCCCAGCCCTCCAAAAACCACTAACCTGCTTTCTGTCTCTGGGTTTACTATTCTGGATATTTCCTGTCAGTGGAATCACATGGTATATGACCCTTTGTGTCTGGCTTCCTTCACTTAGCATATTTTCAAGGTTAATCTAAGTTGTAGCACATAACAGTACTTCATTCCTGTTCATGACTGAAAATATGTCCTTGCACGGATACTACATCATGCTTATCCATTTACGTCTTGAACATTTGGATTTTTTTCCACTTTCTGGCTAGTGCACATAGTATTGCTATGAATGTTTGTATCCAAGTGTTTAAATACCTGGTCTCAGTTCTTTTGGGTCTCTATCTAGGCATGGAATTGCTGTGTACGTGTGTTTGGGGTTTGGTTTGGTTTTGTCTTTTAAGCCATAACAAGATTCCCCCTTCCCCTCCAGTAAGAGGCTAAGGAAAATTAGAAGTATTTGGTATTTCAAAGGGGCCTGCATGAACCTGGAGTCCTGAATTTTTTTTTTTTAATTCACATAAAGTTTAATCCGTCAAGTTAATGAAAATATCAAAATTTTTGAGTTAGTATATGGCAGCAGAAGATTTAATTTTTGTTGCAAATAATACCGTATTTGGTGTTTCCATCACTGACCAGCTATGCTGCAGATAGAGCAATTGCATTGAATCTCAATTCATCAGGGTCACGTTCCATAAACTTCTTGCAAACTTCTATGGCATCCTCTAGTAAAGTTTCATCACTAGTTTCCCCATGGTTAATTGGAAATGGTTTCCATCCACCTAATTCATAGAAATGCCCATCTACATGAACTAATGCAATAAAATGAAGATCTACTTTTTCATCTATACTTGGCACCTCAGTCTGACCTTCGTGGGCACTGGTCTCATGAATGACTCAGATAGCGTCAGTTCTCTAGGTATCTGGCTCGTCCTTCAGGGCTCATTGACACGGAGTCCTCCAGGAATTTTTTCAAGGTTGATCCAGATTCAAAGTGCATCTTGTCTTTATTGTTGGCAATAGCATGGATCAGTCCAATTGTTCCACAGGCATTGCTGATTGTTTGCTTCATAAAATATACTGGTGATGTAACATCTTGTCCCTGAGATTTTATTTTTTCCTCCTCCTCCATTCTGAATACTTCATACTTTTCTGTAATAGGGAAGAGAAGTAACACTGCACACACTGGTCTTGGTACCATGCTGAGAAGTTCAGGATCCATTCCATATACATCAACAAACTGCCAGTTAGGATGCAGACCTAATTGTTTGAGAAACTGGTTGGTGACCTCGGGATTGGCCTCCAGCGGCAGCCAGCGCTGACCCTCCATGGCCACTCCGCCCGGCCCCTCTCCAGCTCTGACAGCAGCCGCTGTCGCCGCCGCCACAGCAGCTTCTGCCCCCGCGCGCTCTCTGGAGTTGTGAATTTTATTTCCTTTACCCTTTCTATAAGACTAACATCAATGAAATATTTTGTCATTAATCACATTAGCGTATTCATTTTGTAACGACTAGTACTCCTCTTAAAATTAATCTTCGGCTAAAAGCTACAAAGTTTGCAGTACCCAGCAAGATACTGTCATTCGTGACCGCGTGATCTTTGTTAGGTCACTTCGTCTTTATGAGGCTCATTCTCCACTGCTGTTCAATAGAAGGTAGGACCTACCTACCACATAGGGTTACTGTGGGTCTCTTTCTTAATGCAGAAAGAAGTTTTGCATTGGAGCTAATCTACCATTTAACAGTTCTTTTGAGGGCCATGTTATATATTTTGTTTCACAAATTTGGTATTTAATTCAGAAAAAAATTGACTGAAAAGTGAGTAATTTGAAATTTCTATATACAGTTACAGTGATTAAATGATTTGCAAACTATGTTTCCTGTTCATATTTTGCTATATTTAATCTTCTGGTTTTTTAAACTTCTTGGGAGGTCTCAGACAGCAATAACTAGTGCTAAGGCAGCTAACTTTTTGGTATCTTTGGGTCAAGCTAATATTTTAATGAGAAAAATTCCTGCATTTTTCAAAGAACGGGGGTTGAAGCAGAAGTAAGTTCCAATGAGCAACTGTACGACTGGGCTGTTAAATGAAAGGTAACAATTTAAAACAATTTCTAGGGGCTCCTCACTGGCTCAGTTAGTGCAGTGTGCAACTCTTGATCTCGGAGCTGTAAGTTTGAGTTCCACGTTGGATGTAGAGTTTTACTTAAAAATAAATCTTTTAAAAAATAAATAAAACAATTTCTGTGTTTCAGTGCTTTGTTCTTCCTATAAATGGTAAGAAGGGTATGCTGGGTTGGCCTTTTTTTTTTTTTTTAATGTTTATTTTTTTCAGAGAGAGTGGGAGAGGGACAGATAGGCAGAAGGAGGAGGATCTGAAGCAGGCTCTGCGCTGGCAGCAGAGAAGCCCACCAGGGGTATTGAACTCAGGAACCGTGAGATCATGACCAGAGCCGAAGTCGGATGCCTAACCAACTGAGGCACCCAGGCGCCCCTGTAAGGCCTTCTTTTGAAGACAACTCAGCCAAAGAACAGCCTGTCTCAGGCGAAATAAAAGACTACAAACCCACCATCGGATGCCACCTCACTGCAGTGAATGATGGATAGTTTGAAATTATTACAGAAAAAATAAACCCAGACCATTTTGCCAAGAGCCTTTCAACCACTTTGCCCCCTTACTGCATACATTACTAAGGCCAAAGAATGCTCTTTGCCTCTCAAAATGTTCGGCATGAATATGTAAATTAAAACTGTCGGCAGTGCCACAGACCCCCATGAACGAGCGGTAATTCCTTCCAGTCTGTTTGGCCCTGGAATTAACAAGATTTAGAAGCTGGGTTAACTAGTATTTTATATTTTCATTAAATTGCAAGACGCAGGTTAAAAGTACGGCTCTTCTGGGTATTCCTCTAGAGTATGGCCTTTTGACATCCTAACTCACTTTTCTTTTTGAAGTCCTCTCGCCATCACAGTAACCACGAAGCAGGGAGGCCAAGCTGCCGAAAAGGCCTCAAGCACAAGGGCTCACCGCACTCCAAGGGTACGCAGTGGAGAGTCTGTGGTCCGAGAGTCTGCAGAAGCCGAGAGGTTCGAGCCTGTCAGTTGGAAGCTTCTTGGAAGCTTCATAGTGTTTGGTTGTCTTCCTCTGGGAAGACCGCGTTCCTTAGAGCCTCAGACGATGCACTGCAATTAAAAATAACTGAACAAGGGGCACCTGGGTGGCTCAGTCGGTTAGGCATCTGACTTCGGCTCAGGTCATGTTCTCACGGGTTGTGGGTTCGAGCCCCACACCCGGCTCTGTGCTGACAGCTCAGAGCCTGGAGCCTGCTTCGGATTCTCTGTCTCCCTCTCTCTCTCTCTGCCCCTCCCCTGCTCATACTCTGCCTCTCTGTTTTAAAATGATTTAAAATAAACACCAAAAAAATGTATGTATACTCTAGGCCCTTTGGGGCTGAGAAACTCAAAATGTGCTTTAGTGAGGATAAGGACTTGAAACTGGAGAGAAGAAAACATGTTTTGAGAAATCTCTCTCGTTTTTTCTTTAAGTTCATTTATTTATTTTGAGAGAGAGAGGGAAAGAGAATCCCAAGCAGGCCCCTCGCTGTCAGCACAGAGCCCAATGCAGGGCTCAAACTCATGAACCACAAGATTCGTAACCCAAGTCTAAACCAAGAGTCGGATGCTTAACTGACTGAGCCACCCAGGTGCTCCTAGAAGCATTATTTCA